ATTAGGTCACCATAATTTTTCTAGCTGAACCCTGTGTCACATATGCGTGACACGTGGCATGCAATACGTTCTATCAACTGATCCACTTCTGACTGCATGAGATCGCATCACTAACCAAGTGTTTGGGTGCCTGACCTAAAAATAGGTGTTTTTTTGGGTTTGAAAGACATTAGTCTTTATGTTGGTTAGTTGAAGCCATCAAGTGTGGATTGCGGGAATGGAGCCTCCAACTAGAAAGGCCTTTGTCTCGCTTTATTCTTTAGAGTGGTCGAAGGAAACTAAAATGGGGAGTTCATGTCTATGAGAAGATATAAAGGTTGTCAAATCTGTGGCTTGAAAGAAGTGGAGTCCATTTTAAGGGGAAGAACCAAGGTTTATCTATTCAATTGAAACTTAATTGACAATTGCACTGCAAACGTAACAGGGAGTGGAAAGTGGATGAGAAATAAAAACTTGTCAGAAAACAAAAACAAGAAATTTTTCTTCCCCTCTTCCACGCAGTCCCCTTCTGGTACTACCCTTTCCCCCTCCTCCACTCTCCCGAGATTCGGAGGAAAAATTAAGCTCGAGGAGTGATAAACAAGACCTCGTAGTTGCATGTGAACAAGTTCCACTTCCGTTTCCCCTTTTTTGACCACAATCCTGCCACAGTGCCGGGTAATCACCGGGCTTGATTATTTTTCCACACACAAACACCACATCTTTTGCGAAAATCTCATTTTTTTTTGAGAAAAAAGGTACGAAAAAGAAAGGAAGAATGTACTCCTCATTTGTGAGAAGACTTGTGATTCTTGTGGAATTGAAAATTCAAAATTTCTTAAGCAAAATTCATTGCTGTTAGGACTCTTTGATTCGTACGGTGAGCATCCTGACTAGAAGGTGGATAGAATAATTCGAAGTTCAAAAGAAAAGAAAAAACTCAGCCGACTCCTCCACAAGTGGCAAATGTTTGTTGGCAAAGAAATGTTTGAAACGAAGCAGCAAACAAGTGTGTTAACTGTCAAACAAAAAATTAAAAATGCAAAAGTCATGACGTACCCAACTGTTCCCGTGATCAGTGAATAATGACAGCCAACTTCCTGACTGGCTTAAGTTTGGGTGTCTAGTAATCTATCAGTATGAGATCTGTTGACCCTGAGGTGGCAGTCGCAGTTTGGTCACCGTACCTACACCTCCGGGTTCGGTTTCCACAGCAATGTCACGTCAACGGTCTCTCGGCCCTCTTTTACGACTAAAATAAACTCTTCTCTTGAAGGGGATGCTTTGCAGGGCCTCCAGGGATGACATGGGACACTGAGTATCACACCTGAATATCAGTGGTTGTAGGTGGTTGAAGCTACGGCGACTCTTAAGAGCAGGAATGTGGAAACACTGACGCCGCTTGGTGGACCGCAGGCGGTAACAAAACGAAACGAATGGATCAAAAGCCGACCATCTTTCAATACTATATTAAAAATGATTTTTCCCTCCAAACACTTTCCATCTCAGTGAAGTCGGTGACTAACCAAGTTCGAGTTGTTTGTTTTTGACACAAGAAGCTATCAAAAAAACATGACATTTCCTTGTTTAAGTAGTCATTAGCACAATTTATCATCCATCCCCCAGCATAAGGCAAAATAGCTGCGATTTCATTTCATATTTAAAAAAAAACAAGGTTTTGCTTTTAGGAAGTGAACAACTAAAACTATGTCTTGTCAACTACGTTTTCCAAAACCCCTTTCTTTTCCAATTGCCTAGTCCCCTTTTTGCGTGACCATGGAATCGGTTAATTCCACGAAGGGATGCCAGTTGACAATTAGATGAATCAGAATCGGGAGGGTCAATCCATACTCTTTATCCAATCGGAAAAGAGAAACGTCTAACCAATCAGTTTTCTCCTTTTCTGCATCTTCTCAATAACTGTAAATTAATACTTGGGAGAGTCACAATAAATTATCGTACAAGTCCATTTTCCCAACAACAAGGCGAAATGCAATAAAGGTACAAGTTCCTTCTTTTGCGGTGAAGAAAAGTAAATCAGCCAGTTAGAAGTCAAGTAGGCAATGCAGCGCCTTAGGAATGAGAAGATTCCATTAATCTTTATGTTTGTTTTAGCTGGGTGGCAGTAAATTATGTGTTATTCCTTGCCAGCCCCGGTTATTGTAAATGGATCTGCGTGTGTATGTCTCAGCGATTTGAGCTGATTAAGGGAGTGGACAACTTTCAAGGGGACAGAGTTCTCTTTTTATTGGAAGATCTCAGTACAGCTAAACTGTTCTTTGACATCCAGAACGCATAGACACTACCGACATCCCTACGGGGTGGTTGGGGCTAGACAGCGACTTAAATGCGGACACTTATTTGTCGACAGGCCTGAGGAATCTGTGTGTACGTGACCGCTGACTGACTGTCGGAAGACATCGGGGTGTTCCATTTTCGTGTATCCACAATACCTTGATTGACTCCCCCCACATAGTATGTATCCAAGGCACAATTTCAGGTCCACAGATTTTAGTGTTGACAAGACGTCAGGAAATAAGGCTGACTGGCACCACCCTGATTGTTAATGGCAAGCATTCACGCGCCTTCAAGACATTTACAACACTCGGGTGTCAATCTACTGATCAATTGAATGTCGCCATCATCGCTATGGTCTACTTGAAGTTTGTTGAATGCACGTACTCACTACCACTGTTGCCTGCCTTCTTAAGTAGGGATGTCTAATCTTGTCACTTACTGCTGCATGTAATGCCTTTTCAAGAATGACCTGCCAAATCCCAAAGTCCCGGTTTGACTTGAACGAGATTTGATTTTCATGATGGAATCAAGTTTACGATTTCTTAGACCTGTTTGAACTTTACAAAGTCAAAAATACAACAAATTTTGCATTTTTTTTTCTGGTTTTTAACAAGATCTTCTTTTGGGAGAGAATTTCCTTACCGGATATAAAACTAATCTGCCATCTAATGAACTCAGTCGATCGGTCGGAGTTCCACCAATTTTTGTCCGGGATAACCAAATATTCTGAGGTTGATTTTCCTTCTTCTATGTTAGGTCCCTTTCGTCCAAAATGTGTGTAAAAACCCACACTAGGCAGGTACGTTTGACTACAAGCCTGATCATCTTTACAAGGGTGGTCAAGTCAAGCTCCTGAAATAGAGGTGCAGGATTTTTTCACACAGCACTTGTCACATTTGCCACTGTCACTCGTAACTTTACTTTGAGGAGGTGGCCGCCCTAGAAAAGTCTCTTTTAACCTGCGATTGGACCTGGAACACGTCTCGATACCGAGGCTGGGCTAAATTTTCAAATCCACCAATATAACTGAATTAATCCAACAAGGATCGAGGGATTTCGGGTACTTCAGGCATCACCAGACCTAAGTGTCCTTTGCGCAATCAAGGCGGAGGAAGAAAGAATCATAAATATGTAAGCAGGCTGGAACGTCAAGTCAAGAAGTCCGCCCAGCGGAGACCTTATAAAACACCTTTTTTGACACTTCAATGCCATTACCAGGAAGAATGGATGCATTTCTCCTAGAGAGACAAAAGCACGAAAGAAACACTTAATTTGCGGTAGAATAAAGAAGGATGCGTTGGATTTGTTTAGGGTAAATCAGTGTTGCTGCACCGACAATGGAATTTCAAGACGCGGCATCCATGTTCAAGTCGCACGGAGACTTTATTTGTTCGACTAGCCAAGGAATCCTCACATACTGTGGTTGATTGCAAGTTCACCCCCATATGTCATGACTCCGTCCGGACAGCAGTAACGAGGAGGATGGGCGATGTTGAACCTGCATCTGATGAACTGCATGAAGCGATGAGGTATCCTGCGAACATGGCCGCAAATCTCTTACAGGTCTTTAAACACAACTGCCACCCGAAAAGATGCTGGATTGAAGAGGATGTTTCAGCTAGTGATACTTCCACTCCTCAATCGTCATTGCAGCTTGCCCATTGCAGAACCACTGGAGAGTTAAATAAGCCAACTCGAGTAAAACTAACAAGACGGATTCATTCCACCAACGACGAAGCCATCCAGCAGGTTCAAGGACAAGTCGACCGTTTTAAACAAACCTCTTCTCCCCTCTTATTTCATTAAAGTTTCTAAAAATCCCAGATCAACTTAAACACTACCGGCGTGAATTCATCACGCTCTAAACCACCTGTCAAAATGGGACTGGGACGAGGTGTCACCTCATTGTGCATGACATGGCGTCATGGTCAAAGTTGTCACCTTTCTGCCATCGTTCCATGTCTTGAAATAGCCTCAAAGAGATGTGCGACAGGTAGGAGACAAAGAGGCCAAGGCTCCAGAATTTAAAACATATGGGTGGTGGAAACCAAGTGTGTTTGCTTGGCCCCTTTTTAAACTACGGAGGAGGACCGATTCAGGCACACTTAAACAAAAAGGCCTTAACCACATACTTGGCGGACAAAAATGTTCAAGTTGCTTGCGGTACAAAATCGTTACAATTGTCCCTGGGGACCTGTGGAATACATTTGTTTTGCTTTCTACAATTTTCTGGTCATTTGAAACCTCTCAGAGCAGGGAATAAACCTGATGTAATTTGAGCTCGTCTGTTTTGTGAAGTCGCAGAGCTCCCTCGCACAACTTATCAAACTTCTTCATCTGCAATTGGCCTTCGGATAAAGTTGAAAGTACTGCAGGAGTCTGTCTAAAGGAGAATGGTAAGCAGTCGTGTTTGGAGATCTCTAGGCAGGTCAGTTGTGGACTTTAAGCCCCGGTCACAGTTTCTTAGCCATGACTGGGTTTGGTGTTTGAAACAGTATCAGTGGAGTGAGGGGGGACATCCTTCATGAAGTCCACTTGAAGTCAGTCAATGGACAGGCGAGCCCGCTGTAAGGAGGAGAGAGAGAATTAG